ATTGAACTTGGTGGCAATCGCTTCAGAACCTTCAATTCCTATAGTGAATGTATCAATAACTTTTCCTCATATATAGCGGTTCATAACATATTTCGTTCCAAACACAGGTATAAGGAGTTGACTCGAGTAAAGAGTCTCGGCGCGCTGCGCCCTGTACAGCCGGTTGCCTGTACTTGGCGCGAGACTCGACCGAGTCTCTTGATATCTGTGTTTGGAACGAAATATCTTATTAAGCACTATACATGAGAAAAAGTTATTGATACATTCACTATAGGAATTGAGGGTTCTGAATTGATTGTCACCACGTTCAATACGATTTGTGTACGAGATCAGGGCGTATTGAGATGGCGAGCGAGATGATTTTATTTCAGTTCCGTCGTCGTCGTCGTCGTCGTCGTCCACCACGTTCAATACGATTTGTGTACGAGATCAGGGCGTATTGAGATGGCGAGCGAGATGATTTTATTTCAGTTCCGTCGTCGTCGTCGTCGTCATCGTCTTCGTCTTCGCACGTCCATCGCATTTTTTACACGACAGATGGCGCTGACTGCTTTGCCTTCTTTACCTATTTGTACTTTAAATGGTTTAGTAATTTACGAATACACAACACAGTCAAATACACTTTATACGTGAAGTTACCGTTCATACCGAATTTCCAGTTAGTATAAGGGTGCTTTCATAACAGTATAGAATTATTAAGTTTTTAATATTGTAGCATTCATGTGGAGCGCGCGTGTATGGATGTATGTATAATGTATATGTGTGCTTCGGCATAGTTCCTCGTATTGTAGGTGACAGTTTTTAGAGATACAGGATGTCCAGGTGTTCCTCTCCGTAGTCTCCTGTATCTAGGTGGCGGACGTGGAAGTCCAGGGTGTCCAGATGTTCCGCTCCGTAGTTTCTTGTATCTAGTTACTGGATGTGGAAGTCCAGGGTGTCCAAGTATTCCGCTTCGTAGTTTCCTGCATCTAGGTGTCAGACGTGGAAGTCCAGGGTGTCCAGGTGTTCCACTCCGTAGTTTCTTGTATCTAGGTACTGGATGAGGAAGTCCAGGGTGTCCAGGTGTTGCGCTCTATAGTTTCTTGTATCTAGGTGTCGGACGTAGAAGTCTAGAGTGTCCAGAAAAGTGTGCAACGAGCGACGCTTTGGCGCTTCGCTCAAACAATAGTATCCTCTCTGTTGTTCGCACGGCCTGAGGTACGTAAATAATCCTGCACACTTTCCTCTCTTACGTTTATCACACGGCTTCAACAAGCTGGACACCATTAACGACGCTTATATGCACTGAAGATTACATTTTCTTTAAAAATTTGTATATATCTTTATGCATTTCTAAAAAAAGGGACTTACAAATTATATTTATATCCCATTCAACATTTTCGACGACGCAGTATATTTTTCTGATTAGCGACATCATAATGCATTTACATTTTATATCTATGAAAATATAGATTTCAGTGCTTAGAGCTTCTATGTCCCGTTGAACAACAAAAACTTGTGATATCCCCCAAAAAACACTTACGTGTAAAAAACTACGCCAAGGTACAGGAGTGCTGTGTATTCCTCTAATAAAAAGTATTGATATCAGATTATGGAGGCCAAGTACATGAGTCACTACATGTTTGCCTATTATATGATCTAGCACTGGCCCATCATTTTAATTGTATTTTCAAAATTTCTTATAACGTTTTCACTACTCTTTTACATTACTACTGCTTCCCATAGTTAATTATGATTTAATGGTCATTTAATAATTAATAAAACTTTAGGCGATTCCTTATCGA